GGATTACAGGCTTGAGCCATCGCGCCTGGCCAATTTCTACTTTAAGATTCTCCCCTGTCCTTTTAACAGCCTTATCTCAGTTGTCTGTCATTCCTCTGCCATTGATTTTTAGTTCTCCTTACTTTTTCTTACACTGCTTCAAAGGAAGGACAATCCACACTTAGCTGCAGGCTGCTGAGGATCTTAGTTATACTTTCCCTATCACTGTTTCTTCTTCATTTGTACCCATGTATTAGTCACCTCATTAATGAATGAGCCGATGGAAAGACAAAGATATTGAGTGTAGAACATAGTAGTTAGTGAGCATGGCCTCTAGAGCTGCCAGACATGGCCACTATTTGCTGGGTGACTTTGGATAGATCACTTAACTTCTCACTGCCTCTGTTGTCTCAACTGTAAGAATAGGCGTGATTGTAGCATACTTCACTGGATGGTGCATTGCATCAAATGAGTTATTTCTACTGAGCACTTACAATACTGCCTAGTACATAGTAAAGCTCAATTCAGTCAGTCATTTATTATTAACAGAATTTTATTGATCCTAAGATGCTCCTTTTTTTACTTTTTAATATCTCTGAAATCAGAATGTCGTTCAGTCAGTAAGTGTCCTAATTATTAGTATCTTTTGAGATAATGATACATCTTACATCAGTGGCATCTAAGATTCAGGGGATGCAGCATTATTATTATCATTGTTATAATCCTGTGGCTTCCGCAAAGTTTAATTGGATTATGTGTGATGTTTCCAATGTATTCTCTTTTTTTTCTATTGTCAACATTGTCAGACAGTTATTGTGCCAATGTCATAACAAGGTTTGAGGGTGGCATATCTTCCACATGCATGTGAAAACCTACATCATGCTTAATGAACTACAAAAGGATCTTCACTAAAAAATTCTAAGGGATGCGGTCTCTTGGACTTGAATTTTCCTGATCCCGAATTAATGTGGAGACAATGCTTTCAGAGAATCTTAGAGCAGCAAAATTTTAGAAAGGCAGGAATATGTGTGTATAGTTGGGGAAAAAGTTTGCTTGTGAATAGCTTTGTCTGCAAAGAAAATGTTAGCCTCTCATCAGCTTCTAAAGTGATACTTCTATGTCTTCAGATACAATTTGCATAAATATTTCCTAGCTATAAATGACCCTGCTTTCACAATATAGCCCATAAAAAACATTTTTTGAGTCAGAGTCTCACTCTGTTGCCCTTGCTAGAGTGCAGTGGCATGCTCACGGTCACCGCAGTCTCAACCTGCTAGACTGAGGTGATCCTTCTTACCTCAGCCTTCCAAGTAGCTGGAACTACAGGCACACGCCACCATGCCTTTCTGATTTTTTGATTTGTTGTAGAGATGAGGTGTTGCCGTGTTCCCCAGACTAGTCTCGAGCCCTGGGCTCAGGCAGTCCTCTCACCTCTGCCTCCCAAAGTGTTGGGATTACAAGTATGAACCATTGTGCCTGGCCCATAAGAAACATTTAAACTTTGAACATAACTGATATAGTGGTATTATTATTTTAGATCCTAGCTATTGTGTAAGTGGAACTAATTCTGCATGTCCTCTGGAGACACTATGAAATTAATTTACCTTAAATATACTTTTTTTCAGCCGTGCTTGGTGGCTCAGCCTGTAATCCCACACCTTTGGGAGGCTGAGGTGAGTGGATTGCCTGAGCCCGCGGGTTTGAGACACGCCTGG